ATGAGTATAAGCCACTAAGATCTGGTGAGAGTACTTTTTAAAATGGAATTTCTGGGAAACAGATGATCTAGAAATAGCTTGCTAGAGAAAGGAGTGGAAATTTAGTTGAAGATATATGATCTCCCCACAAGAGTCCAGAAATGCTTCAAAATAAAGGCATATTATTGTATAAGAAAATATCACTCAAAGTAAGGTGGTGATGGCTCATGTCTGTAATCTTAGTTACTCAGGAGGCTGAGATCTGAAGATTGTGGATTGAAGCCAGCCAGGGGATAAAAAAAGTCTGTGAAACTCTTTTTATCTCCAATAAACTACTCAGAAGAAGCCAGAAGTGGCACAGTGACTCATTTGGTTTGAGTGCTAACCTTGAACAGAAAGAAGCTCAGGAACAGTGCCCAGGACCTGAGTTCAAGCCCCTGGACCAGAAAAAAGAACTCACTGAAAAACTTAAATCACTTTTTTTCTTTCTTCCAATTGTTTCTAACATATTTATAAGATGATTTCTTTGTTGCTTTGTATGTCCCTCCCCCACGGTATAACCCCTGTTTTCACTGTATTTGATGTTGGTGTACTTTGCGGAGGGGAAGGGAAAACACAAATTGTTTAACTAGGGATACAGGTGGACGCATTGCAACAATGAGATGTACAAGGCATTATGTCCAAAAAACGAACTTTACAACTCTGGCAGGCGGTGAGTGGGTAGGGGTGGGGGTGGGGGAAATGGAAAAGGATGGGAAGGGGAAATAAAGAAGGAGGCAACAATGCTTGATAAGAAATGTACTCATTACCTTGCTCATGTAATGTAACCCCTCTGTATGGTATTTTCACAATAAAAAAATGAAAAATAAACAACAAAAAACAAAAACTGTTTTGTTATCATCATTGTATCTATTTACATAATTCTATGGTCTGATCAGTTTAATGGGGAAGTTTATCTATTCCATAGAATTCCAGTTTGTGTTGCAAGTATCAGGAGGCCCAAACATGCTAGAATACTCAAGGTATCTCATTCATATGTCTGTCACATTGAGGAGGACAAGTGAAACACTGAGATTAGCATATATAGTTAGGCCTCTCTCACTTTTTATTAAGTCCCAGAGCCTTTCCTATGGCTTCCCCATGGGGTTTCTCTACATTAGCATTCTAGTAGTCAAATTCCAAATCTTTCCAGGGCAGTCAAATGCCTTAAATGGTAGCTCAGAATCTCCAATAGGACAAAATTGTGAAATGTCCAGGTCTTTTTAAGTTTTTGAAATATGACTAGCATGGGAGTCCTTGATTGCATTCTACTGGGTAAAGTGAGACATGGAACCAGCCTAATTTCATGTAGAAGGGGATTTAAAATAGTTGAGAGATATCTAGAACAATGCCTGGCACACAGGTAAAACCCTGAGAGCACTATGATATTATAATTATAAAAGTGTCACTTAAGAATGAGTGTCATATTTACTGAACAAGGTATACTGTATTCATTAACTACTTTGTTAAATGGCAACTCCTTTGTACAACTACTTAAAAATATTTTCTTTAACAACTGCCCAATAAATAAGTGGGTTAAAGACTTAAAGAGAAACTTCTCTGAAGAAGAAAGAAGGATGGCCAATAGACACATGAAGAAATGCTCAACATCCCTAGCCATAAAAGAAATGCAAATCAAAACAACATTGAGATACCACCTCACCCCAGTTAGAATGGCAAAAATCAAGAACTCTAACAACAACAGATGCTGGAGGGGATGTGGACAGAAGGGAACCTTACTTCATTGTTGGTGGGAATGTAAACTTGTTCAACCACTTTGGAAAGCAGTATGGAGGTTCCTCAAAAGACTTCACATAGAGCTCCCCTATGACCCAGCAATCCCACTTTTGGGCATTTACCCAAAAGTTCACAAACAAGACCACACTAAAGCTACCAGCACAACTATGTTTATTGCAGCATTATTTACCATAGCTAAGATATGGAACCAACCCAGATGCCCCTCAGTAGATGAATGGATCAAGAAAATGTGATATACATACACAATGGAATTCTATGCCTCCATCAGAAAGAATGACATTGCCCCATTTGTTAGGAAATGGAAAAACTTGGAAAAAATTATATTAAGTGAAGTAAGCCAGGCCCAAAGAAACATAGGTCCCATGGTTTCCCTTATTTGCAATATCTAGTATATGTATGAGTCAAGCAGAAAAGGTCAGATAATGTGATGTTAGGAAAATGAACCCTTAGATATGTATTTTAATGTTTCTTTCTTTCATGCATGTGTTTCTAACGCATTTATAAGATTATTTCTTTGTTGCTTTGTATGTCCCTCCCCCACAGTATAACCCCTGCATTCACTATATTTGATGTCAGTATAACTTGTGGAGGAGATGGGGAAAAACAAGTCGTTTAAGGATACAGGTGGACCTGTTGCAACAATGAGAAGTACAAGTTGTCATGTCGAAAATGAGCTTTACAGTGTTGGTGGGGGGGGGGGGAGGATTGGGTGGGAGGGTGTGGGGGGAGGCTGGGAAGGGATGTGAAGGGTAAACAAAGGAGGAGGCTGCAATGCTTGATAAGAAATGTATGCATTATCCTGCCCATGTAATTGTAACCCCTCTGTACAGTATGTTCACAAAAAAAAATTAAATTAAAAAATTTTTCTTTAATGTACTGTGAAAAGACAAGAGCTGGGCACTGGTGGCTCATGCCTATAATCCCAGCTGCTCCGGAGGCTGAAATCTGAGGATTTCGGTTCAAATCCAAGACTGAGCAAGAAAGTCTGTGAGGTTTATCTCCAATTAAGCACCATAAAAAGCCAGATGTATAGATATGGTAGAGGGCTAGTCTTGAGCACAAAAGCTCAGGGACAGCAAGCAGGTCCTGAGTTCAAGGCCCAAGACCAGAAAAAAGGAAAGACAGAAAGAAGGAAGAAAACAAAAGAAAGAAAAGAATGTCATACTGATTAACATAGACTTTTGCAACAGGAGCCAAATCTTCATGACACTGCCAAGGATTTCAAGTTTCACTTAGGGACATTCCAAAAGTTCTTGAAAACAAGAAGTAAATAAAATGATTTTGCCTAAAGTTCAGTGCCAGGAACTAAATAATAATTATTTAAATGAGAATACTGAAGTGATCAAATCCAATGACTTCTTGATAAAAATGTCCAAAGTATAATTGCATGTTTCTACAAACCATTTTGTAATTTAAAAAAAATATGTTAGCATTCTTTTATCTCTGAGATTATCCACTATTTTTTGCAACTGGAAAAGCCTCTTTTTTCCTTAATTCCTTCTGTTTACAAGGCTGATTAAGATCCTCTATAACCTTAACCAGAATAATCTTTTCTATTTTAAAGTTCCTGCAGAATTTCTAACTTGGAGTACTGATATGGAACATACAGTCGTAAAAGAAGAGCATGAACTCTTGAGCAACACTGGCCATATGGCACACTAAGTGAAAATAGAGTCTGCAGTACTAAGAAGGAAGTAAATGGGAATGAAGCTGAGACTAGGAACAGAATTCATGAACAACACCAAGTTATAAAACAGTCAGAAATGAGGACAAATAGGAAGAAAGGTGAAAAGGTAAACATAGGCATCAGAGAATTACTCCCATATCCCCACATTACTGGTCCAAAAAAACAAAGCTGTGCTATATGATCAGATATGGTTCTTGCATGTTGGGGACAGGTGTGGGAACATGGTCTATAGGCCACTGTGGGACACTACAGGCCTAAGATCATATATAATAGAGAAAATTCAAATAAAGCATGACAACTATTATAATCTGCCTTCATAATCATTAGCTCATTAATAGTTGTTGTTTATAGATGAAACAAAATGAGTCTTTCTTCACAAAATGACTCAATTTTCTCAGAAATCAAGAGTTCAATCTCATATATTTTATCTCAACCAATAGGACATTGAGTTTGGAAAACTCTCAAGTGAGAATTATTTTTTTTTAGCAAATTAAACCTGTGCTTATCTGTGTGTGTGTGTGTGAGAGAGAGAGAGACAGACAGACAGACAGACAGAGATGTGTGTGTGTGTGTGTGTGTGTGTGTGTGTGCATGCGCACACACAAGTCCTTGTGCTTAAATTCATGGACTGGGTGGTATCCCAAGATTGTTTTGTTTTGCTAAAGACTAAAATTCTAATACTTAAAGCATGGCTCCACTTCTGGCTTTGGGGGAGTTAATTGAAGATAAGAGTTTTTCCTGCCCAAGTTAGGTTTGAACTGTGATCCTTAGATCTCAGTCTCCTAAGTCGCTAGGATTACAGAGGAAAGCCACTGGCCTGGCAAACCTGTGCTTTTTAAATAGCAAAAAGGTATCTTGTTTCAAGGTGTATTCTTAGCTAAATATAGCATCAATAAAAATGGACTTATATGCAAGAAGAATACAACTCAACTAACTAAATCAAAAGGTAACTTCTAGTAGTCATGCAAACAACTCAAAGGATGGCATGATGAAATGTCAACTATTTGACTTATTCCTGTGAAGGCTGCCGTGCACATCTGTTGTTTTATATGTCAATTGGGATTGCTGATGTCACTGTCAAGTATTGTTCAATTTAAATGAAACATTTTCCACCCAAGCAGTATGAACAACCAACATAGTCATTAAAACTTATGCACCAAAATAATCAAAAGACTTTGGCAAAAAATAGAGGAAGTATCGAGCATCAGATCTACCTGGGAGAAAAAGCAGGAGGCAACAGAAAACTAAAAGCATTTTCTGATTACATTTGTACATTTTGCAGCTAGTAATATAAAAATTTGATCTTAGATTAGAAAAGAATAAACAAACAGCTGAGAAAAGCTAGCTGTGTGTTAGAGAATTGAATCCTATAGAAACCAAGCAAAACAGAAAATGGTGCATTCACTCCTCAGGTCTGATTATATTACCCTCCCCAAGTTTAGTATGAAAATTAACAAAAAGAAAAGTTGCAGAGAAATACATCACACAGGTGCGGTTCCCAAGAGAGATACAAATTTGAGAATAAAATGTCTTTAAGTGTAGCTTTCAGTTGGTTCACTGTTTATTATTGTTTTGGCCATATGAATACTTTCAAGTTATAGCACAACTTAATATTCAAGAGACTGAGGACCAGAAATACATTTTTAAAAACATGAAAAAAATCCCTTGAACAAAATTTTCATGGTATTTAAGAAATCTTGGCAAGTCCTAGGCAAGCAATTGATAATAGCATCAATAACTACCACAAATGATCAGGTATAATTGTTTTCTGGCAGCTGACACCAAGCAAGAACTAAGCCAACAGACAACAATTACACCTGAATGGAGTAGGACAGATCAGGAACAGTAGTCACTGGAAAAAAGATTAAAATCGTTTTGTGAAGGAGGTAATTGCTAGAATAGCAGCAGTTTGGCACTTCCTGTTTATTTGTTTTTAAATTTTATTTTCAAAATCCAACACATGTTGTATTATATTTTTTATCTCATCACTATGTCTCATATTATATATGTATGTCTCAATTTGTTTTGTGACACAAATTGCCTGGTATAAAGTGTTATTTGGTTTAAAATATGGATCTTTTGAAAAAAAAACAACAAAGAGTGAATCAACATAATAAAAACTGATCCCTCCATAACTGGGAATAACCAATCTTACAGTATAATTGACATAATTCCACACACACTACATATATATGGACTAGTTAAAAAAGTGAAGAACTTGATGCTTTCAGTTTTCAAAACAAACTTGAAGGAATCCATAGTTGGAAATCCTAAAGAATCCATAGGTAAAATATCATTAGGTGATAATATCCTTCTGTGGTTGAATTTAATTCCATGTAATTAATAGCCTTTATAAATGTAATGGCAAACTGGGCACAGGTGGCTCACACCTGGAAACTTAGCTATTCAGGAGGTTTTGAACTGAAGATAGTGGTTCAAATCAAGTAAGAGCAGAAAAAGCCAAAGGATTGTATCTCCAATTAACCAACCAATACCCTGAGTTTGCAGGTTTGACTCAAGTGATAGAAGACTAGCTCTGAGTTCAAGGCCTAGTATTAGCACGCACGCTAACACACACACACACACACACACACACACACACACACACACATCTAAAAGTATTTTCCCTCCTTGTGGTCTTTAACTTTATTAAAATTTGAAAATTAAATTATTATTCACTTATTTTTAATCACTCATAAAGTGTCAAGAATCATGTCTATTTATTAAGCTTAGGAATCATCTACTTATCTCCTTGACTGATTTGTAGCTCCTGTATAAATCTTCCAAGTTGTTGAGATCCTGTTTTCTTTTTGTCTATTCTTTTAAGTATTTGGGGTTTACTTCTATCTACTTGCCCAAAGTAAAGAATTATACCAAAGAGCCTGAAATAGTTGTTTTTAATTTGCTTAATACACATATTTTCCCTGATACCTAAGGTCATGATTTGTGTTTTTTAAGCTGACACTTCAGAAGTCGTGCAACACCAATTGTGCTATAAGATTACATAATTAAAATAAGACTGAAAGGCCAGGCACTGGTGGGTCACCCTTGTAATCCTAGTTACTAAGGAAGCTGAGATCTGAGGATCATGGTTTGAAGCCTGTCTGAGCAGGAAAGTCGGAGAAACTTTTATTTGTAATTATCAAAAAAGCTGGAAGTGGAACCCTGGATCAATTGGTAGAGCACTAGCTTTGAACAAAAAAAACCTCAGGAACAGTACCCATGCCTGAGTCCAAACCCAGGACATGCCCAGAAAAAAGTTAGGACAGTACTATTTTACCACAATTAACCTTATTTGGCACTTGAAAGTGCTGAAGCCAATGAATATATAAATAAATAGATCAAACATTTCTGATAACAAGTACCCAGCAAGTGTAATAATCAGTGTGGCTTCTGGATTAAAATAGATATATACACAGACAATTTGTGTATGTAAAAGATATAGTTTTATATACTTTCAGTAATCTATAGAAATATGAGGGAAATTGTACAGATAGTAAATCTACCATTGATCTCTCATTTTAATCATCAGTTTAAGCTTCTACTAAATTTAATGAGTAGAAAGATTAGTCTGACAGGTCAACGGGAAATAAAATGATTACAATTAATTCAAAGCCAGATAACTATGTTTAATACATTTGAGAACTGTCTGTCATGTCCATTTAACTGATTTTTTCTCAGTGTATCCTTAGCATATGATGCTTTCTATTAGTTAAGGAAATAATATTTATGTCTATTGACAGATGAATTGATGAAAAAAGGAAGTCCATTTCTTTGAAATATTCATTTTATTTTCCCTCATTATATAATGAGTATTGGAATTGCTGGATTATACAATAATTCTAAATTTAATTTTTTGAAGAAACACCATAAATTTCTGTAATGACTATGACAACATACATATCCAACAACATTATTTGAGAGTTTCTTTTATTCCATACCTTCACCAGCATTTCATATCTGTTACTGTTTTGATAACAGCCATCCTAAATAGCTTTATGTGATAATCTATTGCAATTTTGATTTAATTTTCCCTGATGATTATAATGATGCTGAACAATTTTTTTCATATATTTCTCAGCCATTTGTATGTCTCTTCTTGAAATACACTATTTCTCTCTCACTCTCTCTTTTTTTTTTTTTTTTTTGCTGGTCATGGGGCCTGAACTCTGGGCCTAGGCGCTGTCCCTCAGCTCTTCAGCCCAACGCTAGCGCTCTACCACTTGAGCCAAAGCACCACTTCCAGCTTTTTCTGCTTATGTGGTACTGAGGAATCGAACCCAGGGCCTCATGCATGCAAAGCAAGCACTCTACCACTGAGCCACCTTTCCAGCCCCAACACTATTTTAATTATTATTAAGTACTTATACAAAGGGGTTACATTTCCATAAGTTGAGTACAATGCATTTCGGTCAATGTCAGCCCTTCCTTCATTCTCCCCTATTTTCCCTCCCCTCAAGTTACATAGTTCAGTTTTTTAAAATTACTTATTTTACAAATCCCTTATCAGATACATGGTTTGTAAATCTTTTCTCCTGTTTGGTACACTGCCTTTTCCTTTTGACAATTATTTCTTTCACTGTGCTAATACCTTTTAGCTTAATGTAGTATCCTGTGTTTATTTTTGCCTATTAAAATTACTTTGTGAATGAGAAAAATATTTCAAATATGATGCTTGTATTTCTAAGAATAAGAACAGCACTTAAACACTTTCTCAGACATTTGGGAAAATCTTTACTATCTATATCTTGTTTCTATTGTTCACGGTATTTACTTTTTATAGAAATACTTTGATTTCTAATCACCAATGTGATAATATCATTACTTTTTAAATTTGGGGATGACTGGTACCTCACACTATTAGGTCTTAGGAACAGTGTCACTTAGGAATTGATACAGAAAGATGTTCTGTTAATAAAAATAAGAGAAGTAAATTGATGGTTCATTGATATTATGTGTTATAAATCTAGAAGAGTATGAAAATCTTGTATACTGAATTTTCTGGCAAGAAAATAACTTGGTTTTTTTTTTTTACTATTATCATGAAACCAATTAAATGAACAGAAAACAATGTGATTTGCTTCAGAAACAAAGAGTCTGAACATAAAAATGTTCAGTTTGGATTCAAAAGCTGAGCTCCATCTTATACATTAAATACACTTTTTGCTGGTCCTGGGTGCTGTCTCTGGGCTTCTTTTGCTCAAGGCTAAAACTGTACCACTTGAACCACAACATCACTCTTGGCTTTTTCTGAGTAGTTTATTGGAGATAAGAGTCTCATGGACTTTCTTTCCAAACTGTTCCCCTCCTATCTCAGCCTCCTGAATAGCTAGGATTACTGGTATGAGCTATCAGTGCCCAGCTTTCAAACACATTTTTCTTAGAGGGAATTCTTGCCATTTGTGATGTGAATAAATCTGGAAGACATTAAGCTAGGTAGAAAAATACACAAGTGGCATGATCTAACTTACATGTGGAATCTTCAAAGCCCGTGAAGCTTATAGTAATGAAACTATCATTATCAGGGAATGAAAGTGACATAAATGGAAATAAGATGAAAAAGAAGAACATACCTTTTGTATGCAGAAAATGGAAAAATATCAGTAAGACTTTTAGTTACAAGATGCATAACTGGCAATGCAACAACTTTTTAAAAAACATTTAAAATACTGACTAGATTCAAGCCTATGTGAAAAAAAAATGAAACAAAATAGCATCCAGAATAAAAAGAAACAATCTTATGAAATGAAGCCAGTATTGCCTATGTTTCTAAATGCCAGGATTATGGTTCGTGGGGCCAAAGATAAGTTTTGAAGCTAATATTACCAATAATGAAAATGTTATCTCGGGCCAGGAATGTGGCCTAGTGCTAGAGTGTTTGACTAGCATGCATATAACCCTGGGTTCAATTCCTCAGTACCACATAAACAGAAAAAGCCCAAAGTGGCATGCAAGTCCAAGTGGTAGACTGTTACTTTTGAGCAAAAGCAGCTCAGTGAGAGTGCCCAGGCTCTAAGTTCAGGCCTCAGAACTGGCAAGAAAACATTATCTGGTTAATGTATCTTTTGTCTGATGCACTCAATTTCATTATGAATGGACATAGCAAGATCTTATCTCAAAAAATAATTCTCATAGCTGTTATTTCACGTTATGTATTATGAAACCTTATTATTAGTACATTTGTTCTTTGTTTATTACTGCTTTTTCATTCTTCCTTCTGATTTATTTATTCTTGTCTGCTTTAATTTAAATACTGAAATGTCTATTTGGGCATTCTTTCTGTAAGAATTGCTATTTTCTTTTTGTCTTTAAATATCATTTGCTGTATTTAAAAATTATAATAAGAATAAATCTTTCTAAACACAGGCACATTTATAATTAGGAAATATTTTTACATGAATTTTTCATCTGAAATGTATTAAAGTTTGGAAGAGTAGTAAAATGAGAACTAAAGTATGTGTGAGACAGAATTGTGCTTTTGATTTCTCAGATCTTTTTGTTTATCCCTCCCAGAGGCAAATCAGAGGCTAGTTAGCTTCCTTGTTTCTTTTTGTTGCTAAATGTTTTATTTTTTTCTATGAATGTTTCAAGTCCTGGATAAATGCTCAGGCATCACTTCCAAGTATTCTATCTTTTCTTTTCTACCTAGC